TGTTGGGCTTGTGTCAATGACATCAGTTTGAGACGCTTCTGAGGTCATTCAGAATTTATCGACGGGTGCATTTTACCTACTTCTGACCTGCATTCCACCTGCTTCACCTCCAAGCAGGTTTTACATTCCAATAGGCTTGTATGGAAATGCAAAACCTGCCTAACAGCAACAAAAGCCCATCAATGCCGGCCCTTAGAACTGCATTCAAATTTGTATTCCTTTTTTTCTGTGTTCATAGGGGAGGTTGCCCCTCACTTCCCATCCCGAACACGAAATGAGTGGGTGAGGGTGTCACCGGAACAGAAACAGACAGAGAAACATAAAAACCCGACAGATTTTTCAACCCATCGCAACTATATTTAAACTAGTTGGCTTTTGTTACAGTTTCTGTTCACATTAGAGAGATGCTGCATCACTTCCTGTACTGGTCAAAGGAAGTAAAGGTCCACTTTAATTTTTGCGGCACCAGCAAAAAATTAAACTAGACCTTTACTCCCTTTGACTAAAAAATCACATCAGCATACAGCTCTGAATGGTGATAAGAAATCATCTTACATTCATTAGCTAAGCAAGCATATTTTTATTTTACTTGCAATTTATTTTTTTCCCACTTCCTGGTCCACTTTGGCACAAATGATGTAATTGTGCCCAAGTGTTGCATCCTGGGAAAGTTACATCAGCAGAGCATTGCTGGGAAATCTCATCTGTAATCTCACAAGATCCCAGGGGAAAGGCATTTTCCTCCCCTGAGATGATGTGCATGGTCACATGTCCTAGTCACATGTGCCAGAGTTCCAGGAAGTAAAGGGAGAGGATTCATCTGCCCTTAGTAAAAATGGTCACTGTGAGAAGAATGGGGAGGAAAATAAAAATAAGGTCTGCAATTTCCTAATCCTATTGCTGTGTATCAGAAGCAGGGGCGTCCCAAGGCCGGGTGTCACCCGGAGTGGTTACCGGGTGACACCCCGCCGTGACTTCATCGCACAACCCCCTTGTGACACCACTGATCAGAAGCATGTGTTGACATTTCTGTTTTGGCCATGCAATAGAAGTTTTGGTTAGTTTTCTCCGATGTAAGCTGCACTGTCCTATCTGCATTACTTGCTGATGACAGTTTTTGAGGGTGTGGGGCACTGTCCAGAATAGTACCTTGTCCCTCATACTGCCTCCAGTCACTACTGTTGAATTTTTCTTTCAACTGTTTTGACACATTTAGGCTTCATGCAATGGGCGTCAGCCCGCCGTGTGAAACACGAACCTGTTTGTGCACTCGCAGAATGGTGTAAAAGGGCAAGAATGCAGAAGGATTTTCATGTCTACCCACATATGACACCACTCCCCATAATGCTTGCGCTTTCTGTGCTGTTATTCCGGCCAGGTTACTTTAATTTTATATACAGTTTCCACCTTATTTTTTTGTTTTTTATTTTTAGTGCCCAGCAATTAAATCTGGGCCAATAATCATGGTTAATGTTTAAGAGTTTAGCAAATATTTGTCAGCTATTTGTGCTCTGAATTGCATTACATTTTCTGAGACTCTGTGGTACAAATGAGGGGAATAAGCGTTTGCGTGGGACGGATTAGTTTTATGGTAGGAGAAGATTGTTCAGTTAATGGATAATGCAGATACATCATCTGAGTGCACATTGACAAGAGAAGGCCGTTTACAGCTCGGGATAGAAATGAGTCTTTATCCACTTTTATTAGAGTATTTACCCCCTTTAAAATACCATATGTTTTGTGAGAATCCTCCCCTGCCTACCACTATATCTATACGACCTCCACCTCCATTCCCTACCACTATAGCTATACGACCTCCACCTCCATTCCCTACCACTATATCTATACTACCTCCACCTCCATTACCTACCACTATATCTCCACCTAGACCTCCACCTCCATTCCCTACCACTATATCTATACTACCTCCACCTCCATTACCTACCACTATATCTATACTACCTCCACCTCCATTGCTTACCACTATATCTCTTCTACCTACCCCTCCATTGTCTACCACTATATCTATATGACCGCCACCTCCATTACCTACCACTATATCTATGCGACCGCCACCTCAATTACCTACCACTATATCTATGCGACCTCCACCTCCATTGTCTACCACTATATCTATACTACCTCCACCTCCATTGCTTACCACTATATCTATACTACATCTACCTCCATTGCCTACCAATATAGCTAAACTATCTTCACCTCCATTCCCTACCACTATATCTATGCAACCTCCACCTCCATTGCCTACCACTATATCTCCACCTAGACCTCCACCTACATTCCCTACCACTATATCTATACTACCTCCACCTCCATTCCCTGCCACTATAGCTAAACTACTTCCACCTCCATTGCCTACCCACTATGTCTATACTACCTACCCCTCCATTGCCTACCACTATATCTCCACCTAGACCTCCACCTACATTCCCTACCACTATATCTATACTACCTCCCCCTCCATTGCCTACCACTATATCTCCACCTAGACCTCCACCTACATTCCCTACCACTATATCTATACTACCTCCACCTCCATTCCCTGCCACTATAGCTAAACTACTTCCACCTCCATTGCCTACCCACTATGTCTATACTACCTACCCCTCCATTGTCTACCACTATATCTATACTTCCTCCACCTCCATTGTATACCACTATATCTATACTTCCTCCACCTCCATTGTCTACCACTATATCTATACTACATCTACCTCCATTGCCTACCACTATAGCTAAACTATCTTCACCTCCATTCCCTACCACTATATCTAAACTACCTCCACCTCCATTGCCTACCACTATATCTAAACTACCTCCACCTCCATTGCCTACCACTATATCTATACTACCTCCACCTCTGTTGCCTACCACTATATTATCTAAACTGCCTCCTCCTCCATTGCCTACCACTATAGCTAAACTACCTCCAAAATTCTGGAAATGTTTTGCTAATACCTTCTACATTATTGGAAGACAACCCAGCTAGATTTCAGCAGCCTCCTATGTAGCTCTATATCTATCCAGATACTAGGATTTCAATCTGACTTATTAAAGAAGCAAAGCAAAACTGAACAAGTGTCAAGTATGAAAACAGATGTATCGTAAACATACAAATGCGTGAAACTTTGTTGGCTTTAAACTACAAAAGTTCAATAATTTTTTTTTATAGAAGTCTCATATAAACGGTAACATGTTAAAGTAATTCTCTTAAGGGTAAGTATTAATTTGTAGGTTAACTGTACAACAAAGCCATTGAACAAATAACACATCTGTGTACAAGAAAAAGGCGTCAAGTAACTTTTTAAAAGTAATTTTTTATCTTTTTTACTCAGTAGCTTTCATTAAAACAATTCTGTGGTACTTTTATAGATTTTACACTTGAGGGCTGCCTGATTCACTCTGCACCTTAGTATATCACCTATTTCTGTCCGAGGGGTTGCTGACTCCACAATTGGCTCTGTGTCTTCCTCGTGCCCTGTACCCTGAATGATCTCATTACTGGTTACCCTTTCCCTCTGCAGTTTATCAGCCCAGAGACAGACAATCATTGCCTGGATGTATTATATTGTATTTATTCTGTGCTATCTGCACTGGTCTGCCTTTGTTCCTTAATCTGCCAAAGGTGAAGTTTGTCTTTTTGATGACTGGATGGTGTTCACAAGTTGAACCTTGTAATTACTTGATTAGTTTAAACTGACACGTGTGCTGAACCCATGACCACACAGGTTTGTAGGTGTGTGATACCTGTTCTGCTTTTTAGATGCAAAATAACCTAAAAACACTACAGTAACAATATACTGGGGGCAATTGTGTCCAGTTCCTGTTCAGGTGACCATAAAGAAACCAAAAGCCGATCTTGCTCTGGGTATATGTTTTGGCTTATAACTATTGCTTGTCCATGCTACCCAAAAAGGAACGTGTTACTCTTTAGGTATTCACATATCCTACCATATTTCCATTATTCTTCCATTAGGGCCGGTGCACACCTAGGCGACACCTCACCGCACGGCAATCGTGCGCGATTCCACGCAGATTGCCGCACGGTCAGGAGTCGCTAGGTGTGCACCGATCGCGCTGTGGGTGCCATTATTTTCTAATGGCACCCCAGTTGCGCCGGGCGGATCGTGTGGTTTCCTGCCGCGATTCCACCCGTGCTCCCGGACACAAAACAGCTGAGTGCCGTGTATCGCAAAAAAAGGTACGAATTCTGCGATTTCCACGTGGATGTCACCCGATTGAAATCAATGGGGTCACACGGAAACCGCCACCTGCATTGTGCAGGACCGCACGATCCCGGATTGCGCAAGTCTGCCCCTGGCCTTATACAGGCATACCATCATAACTTGTAGATACAACCCAACCACTAATATTTCATATAAACTATAATAAATGCATTTTCATTCATTCGTTTTCTGTATTTTTTTATATCTGCAACTTTTTTTGAAATAATACCTGGTGATCCTGCCATGGCGGTCCATGTTCAGGCACTTCCTGCGATAAGGTGACAACTCTCTGTCCCAGCCTTCCAATGATATCAGTGTGTCACATGGGTTACCAATGGAGACTACAAGTGACTGTTTCAACACACATTATTAAGTTACATTTCTCTGGTGCCACTATCAGAAAGCCCAGAGAAATGACATGCAAGCCATTGCTGGAGTTTATGTGCAAAGTGGACCTTTTTACAACATAAGAAACATACAAACAAAAGTAAAGTGTTACATTTTTGAGTCTCACAGACAAGAAGTGAATGGAACTCTAACTTTTTTTGTCTTATGCAACACTCGGAAAAAAAAAAAAAAAGTTTTAGCTATAACTAATCTGTTTCATTTGTAAATAATTTTGCTATAATTTTGATTTTTTTTTTTAAGCTTCCCATACTGCTAGAAGTAATGATTTTAAATTTATGGATGAAGAATGTCTTTGATATACCACATCTCATGTACTTCAAGGTTCTCTCTTATTTTTCCTGATAGGCACAGTATTGGACATATCATTACAATGGTGGAGCAGCATGGTAGTGATGTATGGTGGACACACCCTGTAGAAGAATTACTTCCGAAAACCGTGCTGAAACAGGTATCCTCCACACTACCAGCATAAAGCAAAACTCGCTAAACCTCACCTGGGACCCAGTTATGGCTGTAAAATGACAGATCGAAGCAATTGTAGCTGGTCTGTTTTTTGTTTTGGATTGTGCAGGAATGTCAGATGTATTCCTTATCAGGGGAGATTCTACGTATTCTGCCATCTCACTACACCACGATTTAGTTTGTAAATAAAAGCAATGCAACAGAATCTATACATATCTATCTTGTATATGTGTAATTATGACCAGATTAGAAGTGGGTGTTTCATTTTCCACTATGCTCCCAAATATGCACACTCAGTTAAGAATGGGAATGTGATGCTGCATTGGGCACAAAATCGCCAAAACTCAGAGCCGGATCATCCACAAGGTGACCCCTATGTCTCAATGGATGCCTAGGGGCCCAGCTATATCCTTCATACTCTTACGGTAAATCAGGGGGATCGTGCTATTGGTTAAATATGTCCACCTGTAGGTCCCTTTACAAGGGAGAACAGACTTTTTAGGCAGTTGGTGTCTCATAGGCCCATACTAATATAGACAGTGCAAATGGGGCTGCTTCTCTGCCTATCACAATTCTTATCAATTGCAATCAAATAGATTGAGAGGTGTGTGTGGGGGGTGGGGAGGGATTGCTAACTTGCCTAGGTCTTTGCTTTCCCCTAACCTGTGTTTGCCAAAATGTTATGAATAATGACTGAAAAATGTTTGTCATTCAGTTTCAGCTATAACATGGAGATGGTGGGGTTAGGTAAATCCTTTATCATGGATTGAAACCAGATGGTTATGGCCAAAAAATAACACAACCCTGTGAAGTTGGTGGGTCATTATGTATCAAAACCCATAATGAACACAATTAGATCTAACAAGCAACTTGTTAGATCTAAAATGCAAAACATTTAGTTGGTTTTTTTTAAAGCAAAAGGGTGTATTTCAAACTATTTCAAGGTTGTATTTCAAACTAGATAGGTGTACCTGATAAGGTGGGTACTGATTGTTCCAAATGAGGGACCATCTGAAAGCAGTGTTGTGGGGCAGTTTCATTTTTGTTACTATATTTAAGCTGCAAGGAAGTGGTATGCATGTAACGGAGCACCAGTTTTCCATTTCCCATCTCTCACCAGGCTGGCAGCAGGGCTGAAGTGCAGGAGTACGAGCCTGGACGGGATGTTTTGGACATATGGTTCGATAGTGGAACATCATGGGCTCATGTGTTGGAAGGTATGAGATCCCTATAATCGGGACAGGGCAAATTCCAAGTGCCAGGTAGTTCATAACTTACACTGTCTGAAAAAAGCAAGTGTTGAGGTTGAGAGCATTGTTTGTGATGATTAGGCTGCGTAAATGTGTAATTATGAATGCTTCAGGGTGTCATTGTACAAAGATATTTTCCAGACAATGTTACACTTATTTACCGCTAAAGTTTATTAGCAAAATAAACTTTGTTTAATTCAACAGAATTTAAACTGTTGCATTACAGTGTATTATTCTCATCCATTCTTTAACACAAGAAATCTTAAGCCTTCAGATTATAGTGCTGCCTACAAGAGGATATGGCACTGGTGTGCAAAAAATCTGCAGGCCAGCAGACGATAACCTATACTATATTGCCAAAAGTATTGGGATGCATTTACACGTACGTGAACTTAATGGCATCCCAGTCTTACTCCGTAGGGTTCAATATTGAGTTGGCCCGCCCTTTGCAGCTATAACAGCTTCAACTCTTCTGGGAAGGCGTCCACAAGGTTTAGGAGTGTGTCTATGGAAATGTTTGACCATTCTTCCAGAAGTGCATTTGTGAGGTCAGGTACTCATGTTGGACAAGAAGGCAATTGTTGTGCCAATCTGAAGGCCACCCGAAGTTTGGAGGTCTGTAGCTATTGACTCTGCAGACAGTTGTTGACTTCTGCGCACTGTGCGCTTCAGCATGCGCTGACCACGCTCAGTCATTTTACGTGGCCTACTACTTCGTGACTGAGTTGCTGTTGTTCCCAGTTGCTTCCACTTTGTTATAATACCACTAACAGGTGACCGTGACCGCGGAATATTTAGTAGCAAGGAAATTTCACGGAATACCTGAATCCAATGATTTGTAGGGGAGTCCCAATACTTTTGGCAATATAGTGTATCACATAACCAGGATGCCTCTGGGGTTTTTTTTCTCTAGTATCGTAGGAGGATGGATGTCGTTTCCTAGCTCTACTGATTTAAGACTTGGCATACTTTTTCTAGCAACCATTTTTTTCTCTTTAATGTAGATTCCTCTCCATATAGGTGCAGGAGGTCACTTCGCTTTCTTGCAGCCACCCAGCACAATTGTCCCCAGTCTTGGCTTTTTGTCTTACTGTGACAAGGCCCTGCTAGAGCCGACATCGCAGAGTACCTCTGGAAATGATCTTCTGCCACTGGGGTCCGTTTAAGCACTTTCCAAACTGGTACTGCCTATGTTGGCTGCAGAGCACTTTTCAGTTTCAGAGCTCTTTGGATTACTATTGCACTTTCTCTGTCTGTGAAGACTTACTTTGGGTCTACGTTGGATGCTATCATAAGTGTACCCAACTTCCCCAGTGTAAGACACCTAAGGAGCAGGTCCTTCACTTCATATCAGAAGCATTTGTTTTGCTTTACTCTGCCCTCGACCTCCTATATCGAGAGCCCTCAGACCTGGATTTCCTTCTGACCCACTTCCTGGATCCACTGACAAGCCTTCGTCAACATTAAGGTATGCCCCTATTTTCCATAGTGGGAGGGATGTCTACTGGCCTTTGCAGATGCTTGGAATTCTTGCATTCCAGATGTTTGGGTACTAGAGGTGTTGTCCCAGGGTTACAAGCTTTGGTTCTTTTCCCTAATTTCTTCAATTTTCTGGTGTCCCCTCAGCACCTGGCCAATATCCATTGTGTTTTTCTGGGCTCTTGGAACAAGGTCCCTGGTGCAGAACATGTTCAAGGGTTTTTCTCTGACCTGCTCATCATTCCCAAACCCAAAGAGGGCATTCTCCCCGTTCTGAAACTCAAAGCCTTAGTTCTGAATGGATTCGACTAGATCCGTTATTGCATCTCTGCATCAAGCAGACTTTCTGGCCTTCGTCATAGGGCTCAGTCATAGAGCGTCTCTATGACTAAGCCTGTGATTGGGTGAAATGCATCATAGGGGGCGGATCTTGGGTGGAACACCAGTGATGTGATACAAGCTTCAATAAACTATCCCAGTGGAATCCGGTGTGTGACCAGCTTTTTTTCCTGTTTGTACAGGTTTTAGTTGTTTAAAGCATAATTCCAGGCCAGAAAAAAGAAAGAATCAATAAACTGAAAACTCACAGGGCACATCACTATGATAAATATGGAGAGACTGTATGATTTAAAATGTTTGCTCTGTTATTAAACTGAGAACGCTCTAGAAGAGTGTTACAAAGGGCGTTGGAAAGAGTCTGGTGTGTGCCAAGGAAAATGTGGTGTAGATGAGCAGAGAGCGTTTAGATATAGACGGCTTCCAATCTTGACTCATCCTATAAAAGTCGAGCTGAGCCCCACTACTTCCTGGCCTGGAAAGTTTCTCGTTGTTCACCCTAATGGTGGGTAACCTGATTGACCAACAGGGAGACTGGAGGTGGGAGGGGGGCGCTCAAACTTTACATGAAAAATATATATTTATATGGTTATATCTCTACGTCTACTAATCATTCCTCCATACGATTTTCACTGAAGCTAATCTCAACTTATTTATTTCCTCTATGACTACTCACATGACCAATACACGTGATATCTGCTGAGGATGAGGATCCTACTGGTCTAAACTTAAATCTTAGTTGATATGGTGTTTTCGGGGAAGTTTCAGACTAGGCCTATTCCTTTGTTAGTAACTCTTAGCCCTGTTCAAACCAGGGCGATGTCGCCACACGGAACCGCCGACATGAACAATCCCATACATTGCTATGGGGTCCATTTATGCAACCGCGCAATCCGATCCGCCCGCCACCAAAAATGATCCCCGACCTTTTGTTTCCGCGCTGATCAGCCCGGTTTTCATAAAGATTTCAATGGAACCGCTGATCAGCGCAGTTTTGGGCGTTTCTATTTGTGCTTTAGCACTGAAAAGCACTTAAAAAGGCCCCTTTAAAATTTGCGTGGAAGCCGCGCCGATCCGCAGCCGCACTGGTGTGAATGGGCCTCAGTTCTTGCTGAAGTCTGAGCTGAGCTGTTGTTCTGCCAGCCGCTCAGCGTGTAAGTAAACATTGTTATTCTGTTTGCTTAATTTTTAACAGAGCAATTGGCGCTTTACAACATCCATATCTGCTCCCATTTTAATGCTGACCCACAGATTTAGAGTAAACACAAGCTTTAGATTACGCCTCAGATCACATATTTACTTGTCTGATCTAGATTTGTATAAATCTGCTGCCATTTCAGTGCCGTATGTTTTCAAATGACACGATCAGGTAGAAACTACTTTATATTCGGGGCAAGTCTGGTTAATAAAGCTATAGCAAGGCAAGCTTTAGTTTGGTTGATGTGGAATTGCAGCTCTGGGCATTGTCTATCAACCTTACACTCTTAGTTCCTCATTAGCTTGTCCTGCTCCATACACTCATTTCTCAGGATATACTAATTATTATTTAATCTGACTAGATGTTTAACGTGTTACACCACCTTTGGTACAGTTACATTTATATCATAATGCGTCTCTGCCAGCCTTATACTCATCTGTCTCCAATTCAGCAAGGTAGCATTGACTAGACCACACAGCCACTTGCCAAAATGCTCCCTGTTGGGTTTAAGTATGTGCTCTGCACTCCCCTTCACGCACAGAGTTCTTTCCGAAAATCAGCCTACTTCATGTATTTGTATAGGTAACTGCAACCCTTTGTTCACAGGGTTACCAGAACAATGTTTGCAGCCAATTGCCTTATCATCGCTGACAAAAGTTGTGCCCTATAATTTACATATTGTCCCAGTTGTCCACACTGTCTACTGGCTGCTGGTATTAAGATTGGTGGGTTGCAGTGACCATGCTAAGGCTGTAGCAGTCCACGCTGCTAGTATGGGGCCTGGGTGGGAGGGGGTAACCATTAGTGTTGGCTGTTGAGTTCATTTAAACTGTGAACTTTCCAGTCTAGAAGAGCTTAAGTCATATGTACAGGAGGAGACGCCAGGATCTTCACTAGTCACAGATCCCTTTAGTCTCTCTGTGCAGTAAGGAGCATTTTTTTTAGCTAGCAGCAGTATAGGATTATTCTTATTCATTTTAGGAGCATCCCTGGGCTTTATATATGTCCAAGGTACTTGATATAACAGGCTACTTTGTTTTTACTTGCATTCCGCTATTTCAGGCTTGTTTGCCCTCATCAGCACAGGATGTGGACTAAGTGGCTGTTGTGGTATAGTGTTTGGGGTTAGCAGACCAGTTGCGAGTCAGATGTTTCTATCCTCCATCTATGAAATCGTTCATTTGCGTTCCGTGTAAAATCTTCAGCCTGTGTATTATGTTGCAGATGCAGAACAGAGAGCTGATGTGTATATTGAAGGCAAGGACCAGCTTGGAGGATGGTTTCAGTCTTCCCTCCTCACCAGTGTGGCTTCCAGAAACAAAGCACCATATAAGTAAGTGACAGTTTTTATTGTAACATTTCATCTACGTATGTATGTATGTATGTATGTATGTATGTATGTATGCGTGTAGTACATCTCTGCAATACTTGTACACTTCTCCATGTTTTATCATTTAAAAATGCTGCAAATACAGAATCCCATGCATTGTCAGCCCTGCCTGAGTTCTTCCTTGTGGGACTACAGAATGCCTATTCCTGTCTCTCTGTGCCAGTTTACTTGCATACGTTGATTTATTTCTCAGCAAAACATTGATGTCCGATTGTGGCCGGAACGCATTGGATGTGCCACGCGTTCCCGTGCGGCCGAAGGGGCGTGGCTGCGGTGCTATTGAGCTCAATGCCCCCGCCACGCCCCTTCCCGACCCAAAGCAAAGTGAGCCGGCGGGAATGTGATCAAATGTGTTTCGGCCGCAATCGTGTGAACTAGCCCTTAAGACCACCCATGATGTGGTAGTAGAATGAATCACTGTATAACATAGGTGGTTTCATTATCAACCCATCCCATGCTTTTTACATATTCGAAGTTTAGTTTTCCTGTCATTCTCTTTGATCTCAGTTACAATCTCTCCCTATGCAAACAAATGACATTAATAATCTATATTTTTGCTGCTCGACCTTTACTCTTTAGTCTACCATACTAGAACAGCCCTGCAGAAGCACAGTCCAAGGTTTGTTTACATTGGGGTGCTATCGTTCCTTTTATTACTTTATGTCCTATAGTGCTAAAACAGCTCATATCTGGTTACCAAGTATAACTCGGTGACCTAGACACACTGGAGTTTGTTTGCTGGGAAACAATTGTCATACAATTAGCGAATTGCTGCTTTTATTGGACTGAGTAGAGTAGGCCAGAAAATATACCATTTGTCTACATCTTACTATACTGTATCACAGGATGTTGTATTTCCTGATAGCTGATACATGTATGGTGTATTATTGTATGTGTTTATGTGGCTGGTACCGGTCTGCCCCCTGCATAAACAAGCATATTCCACCAAAAAACCTGTGCATGTCTATGGAAAGATCTGTATGTCAAGCCAAAAACCTTTTTCTCTATTGTCCATCGAGGGACAGAGCTTTGAAGAATTCTGAGACGTAGGGTTATGCTGCTGCCTCCAGGAGAAATGGACACTAGTAAAAAAAAAAAATGAAGCCCGCCCTTTTAAGCACATATACCCCCACCTCCCACCTGCCAGTTTTGCTTAGTGTCCTCATGAGAATGGATGCCTGATGAAGGCCCCCTGAGTGGCCCCTGAACGTTGCTGTACGAGATGGGTGTACATCAATAAAATGACCTCTCGTTGAAAATTTTACTTTTGTGTGCTGGTGATATACTTTACTCATGAGAATGGATGTCTCCTTCTCTTCTGCTTTTTTTTTGGTTCATTTTGTTTCTTCTGTGAGATTTTACCATCAAGAGCTGCTAGTTGATTCATGCCGGATAAGGTAAATCCTGGAAGTCTCTCTAGTTATCAGAAAGAGGTCTTTTCTGGTCTTAGTAAAGATTATCTGTCCTGCGGTGGTCCAGACTTCCCGTGATCATGTTTTTATTTATTATGGCCAGGCCAGTGTTATATGGAGATTCCTATTATGGTGAACCAGGGACAAGGGGTCGTGGGTGACTGTATTTCGTTTATTTTTACAGGGATGGGTATTTTCCCTCCATTTCATTGCGTCTGGGCTGTGTACATTTCTGTCTTAATACACCTTGTTTATTATACGGAGTCTGACTACTTTTATTCAGTTTTTCCATCATCTCTTCAAGAGGTCGGGAATAATTTTTAAAAAATGATTATGCCCTTTTTTATTATGTTGAGCATGTACACGCGGCGCGGCAACCTTACTGGCAGTGTCTGCGAGCGGTTTCTGTTCAACTTCATATATCGCTGGTTGGACTCAACTCAGTCATCTGTTGGAGGAATCGAGGATCTCTATTATCCCCTGTGACCCAGCCCTTTATTCTTTTATACTGCTATCTGCAGTACAGGTGTTTTCTCTTTACACCAGTCAGGGCCGTGATTGGTTTCGGAGGAGAATTTGTGATCTATTTTACTGATATGTCCATTTCCAAACGGAGGGGAGATCTCGCCTTGACTTCTGAGGATCACAAAGCAGAAAATCACCAGTACTGGACAGAATAAACATAAATGATTATCGTATTTATTAAAGTCACCTCATGTCACATGTCATAAGGCCAATGTTTCAGGGTCACGCAGGTTCCCTTCTTCAGGGTGACACGACGCTATCCATGATATCACTGCGAGCACCACAAGAAGTATTAAGAGGTCCACACGCTGTATGGAGTGCAGGTAACTCATCACAACTTTCTTTGACTTCAGAGGACTCTTCCTCTTTCTTTCCATGTATGTACAGTGGAGATCCCCTCTGGGAAGGAATGTCAAATTGTATTGATATTAGGATAGTATATGACAATACATTGTCAGTCTCTAATCCTGCACCTTCCTCTTTATTGGGTTATTCTTCCGTTTTTGTTACTAAAGCTGAATTTTCTTATACTGTGGAGAGCTTTTTCTCTTGTTTGGGAACACTTATGGTCCCTGTGCAGAAGGGTAAAAAATGTTGTGTTCCTTCATCGCCTGTAGTTTCAGAGGAAGAAATCCCTGATATTTGTGAAACTGCTGTGATTTCTTTCCTGATGTTTCTTTGTCTGATGGTGAGTGTTTTTCTTCTGAAGGGAATGGGACGAATCCAACTCCAATTTTCAGTCATCTGCTATTACTCAACATCAGAAAGAAACAGTTGCCTTTTCAGTTGGGGTTGTGCATTACTCTTTAAATGTAGAGGATTCCACTGTTATTTCCCATTCTTCAGTTTCTATTCCAGCTTCAAATAAACCTGAACGTGTCTGCAGGTTCTTCCTCTGCATTCTATTTTTTTTTTTTTAAAGGTTTCTCTGTAAGGATTGGGAAATTTACAGATTTCCAGACAGCTGTAGTTGATCCGAATTTTATTAATTGTTGATCAAATGACTGTTGCGTCTTATTTCTTGTGTGATGTAGTTCTTGATGCTTGTCGCTTGTTCTCTTAAATGCCTATATCTTCTATTTGGATACACAGAGCTGTCTGGCATCAGGGCCCGTTCACACCAGTTGCAGTGCGTTCAGGCCCGATTCTGGCCGGAACGTACTGCATCGCATTGCGGCCGGCTCACTTTTTAGTAGGGCGGGAGGGAGCGTGGCGGGCCATTGAAGTGAATGGCACCGTTGCCACGCCCCCGGCTGCAATGCGATCGCCCGCACAGGATCGCAAGGCACATTGTGCCTCCGGTGCCGCAGACACAATTCAACTGGTGTGAACGGGCCCTAAATGCTGGTCAGCGGAACCTCCTTGCATTTGTCCTATGTGGGAGATCAACTTTTAGGAGCTTTGCTGGATCAGATTATGAAAAAGGCTACAGGAGGAGAAGTGACCACTTTTTTTCATCCTGGCTTCCCATGTCTTGGCAACGTTCAATGAGCCTTTTTTGCACAGTTAGAGGTTTGTTGGATCAGGCATGGTATTAACCTGTTTATGGTTCCCAAAGCCAACAGAGGCCTTCATCTAAATGTGGATTTAAAGGAATTAAATGTGTTTGTCCATATTCAAAAACTCGGTTATCCATAACATTATGTTTTACAAAAACTTTCTTTTGAACCTATTTGAGATATTTCTTTGTTGTCCAGAAAGGTTGCCTTTGTTGTGGCCATTACCTCGGCTAGAAAGGTTTCCGAGTTGTCTGCTTTGTCTTGTAGAGAACCTTATTTGGTTCTTCGTGATGAAGGCAAGATTGTTTTGAGGCCGGCCACAAGTTTCCCAAGGTGGTTTTGTACTTTCATTTAAATGAAGATATTGTTTTACTTCCACTTTGTCCGGCTCCTGTTCATCCTACAGAAATGTCTCTGCATTGTATAGATGTTGTGCGGCCTATTAGAGTTTATCTAACTCTAGAATAAGAACTTCTGGAGAATGCTGTCATTCTATCTTTGTGTCTTTCAGGAATGTAATAGTCCATGGATTTGTTCTGTCCGAAACAGGAGACAAAATGTCCAAATCTGTTGGAAATGTGGTGGATCCGGATGTCATCATAAATGGTGGTCAGGTGAGATTGTTACTGTCATCTCTATTTTATGTCTGTCAATTGAAAAAATCATTCATTTAGTTAATGATACTTAGACATCGTTCCTGGAAATATTGGAGCCCTGTAATAAAAATATTCATTTTGCACAATAGACACTTTTTTTTACACCATCTTCTTATTACCACCATCCCTTCTTATACCCAATCAGTACTGTGCAAAATATCTTTGACGTCTGTCCAGATAAAAACTGTTATTGATTTAATGAAAATGTTGTATAACCAAAATATTTTTGGCTAGAGTTGGGTTAAAACCCCTGCCCCGTAGGGGAAATTTCCCCATGACTTGCTGTCCCAGGGACACACAATAAGAGAAATGTCTCAGCAAAGCAAGGGAGTTTCCCTCTTAGACAATTGTTACCTGGACAGGTTTCCCCTATTGAAGTCTTCCCCTCACCATCTGGTGACAACTCAAACATTGTCTCATTACTGACAGTGGTCACCAGGAGAAATTTGAAAGGGTGAATCTACGTAGCCAGGATAAGGAAGGTAGAAAGGGGGCACTGGATTGCTTTGTTCAGTAGATGTTCACAGTTCCCTTTAAGAAGTAATAGCTGAGGGTTGGCTCGGCTTGGGATGGTATCTCAGGTGGAATACAAGGAGGAAGGTGCCAGACACAAATCTTGTAGCGTGTAGTTCTAATTTCATTGGAATTCTTTACCTTGAAAAGCGAATGTGTTTCAGAGACTCAGAGGGTCCCCTTTCATCAGGGCTTAGTTCAGGTAAAAGACATATGCACTGGGCTAGTGCAAATGTAAGGATCCTGCAGGAAAATAAAACACCGGACGGAAAGGATTAAGTGAAACGATAGGCTGCCACTATAGGAACTGCTTTTTTTGGTGGATCCATAGTTTTGTTTTTTGTTGCCCAAGCTAGACTTGGACTTTAAATTTGTAACTAAACCCACCAATTTAGCGGTCTCCCATGAGAAAGCTCAAGTTAGAGATGTTCAGTAGAAGTCAACATACTAATGTTGTTTTCTGCAGAGTTATCATTTACATTCTACTTATTAACAAATGTGCATGTTTTATGCTGCTATTCAAGGCATGCCTCTGGTGATGACTGTCACAGTTACTAGTGTGCTTATGTCAGCTATTAACTAATCTTTCAATCCATGAAATGTCTGGTGCCATAGATTGTCACAGGTGCAACACCATGACAATTGGAGATAGATGGTGGCTTAGATTGCACCGTCTCCCACGAGTAGGAGGATAGAAGGGTTTAGTTCTGCTTTAAGTCACATCAGTCCCCCACAGGTGCTTACAGTCTGACTTTCCTTTTATAGACATACCCAACAAAGGCCTACTAAGACAATCTATTCATTTTATATCCAGACAAGTAAAACTTTGCACTACATAGTTGTTGTTGATGAACCTAGATATATATTGATAGTTTTTTCTAAATTCCCCCTTACAGCATAGATGGGGAATCCCCCCATCCGGAGTATTTTATTTTGACAGCATGTAGGGGGACACTGGTAGTATACCTGATAGGCTGAAGTCACTGTTAGAATGCCTGATAGGCTGCATCTGATAGGCTGAAGTCACTGTTCAGCCAAGATTTTTCAGACTAGCTCCTTTGACAAAGGTCGATTGAAAAATCAACTTTTTGCTTGGAAAAGGGGAAGGCAGTGGGTTGGGGCCTGACAGGGCCCACACCCTGGCCGTAATTCATCCACTGCGTGGCCAGCTTTATGGGCTTATGTGCTCAGCATTGTATACCTGTGTTTGACATGCATTGAAACTTTACTTTCTTTGTCATAGGACAAAACAAAAGAGCCGGCCTATGGAGCTGATGTCTTACGCTGGTGGGTGGCTGAGTCCAATGTCTTTACTGAAGTCCTGATTGGACCAACTGTACTGAATGCAGCACGGGAGGATATAAATAAGGTACATCTAAAAATGTTTATATTTCTGCATATTATAAGTTGTATCTAGATATATGTTTCACAGCTGCAGTGATTCTATAGAAAAAAACGTTTGGAACACTTAAAGTAGATGTAAACCCTGAAAAATAATAGCTACTTTGCTGAAGCTCTTTGCTTAGTGACATAAAAAAAATTTTCTTTCACCTTTTTTCATACTGTATTATCTCAGTGCAGCCATTTCATGCCACAGATGCATGACATATCTCAAGGTGTGTTTCCTGATGGTGACAACAATTGACCATGCCTGCATAAAGGTTTGACGCGGCTGTCACTGCACATTGTCCAATCAGAGAATGTCTAGTATTCATTGAGAAAAATACTAGGCATCCTCTGAATGGCCGCTATGCTCACCAAGCCACTCTCAACAGCACAGGGAAGTCACTCAGCATTGTGGCTGAAGCAGGGACCCCGGAGATGCTGTAATACACTGTTGTAGCTGCGACTACTACCGTACACTACAGGATCCCCTTGGCCTTGCCAGGGCAGCTGAAGTTCTACTTTAAGGCCAGGCATAACTGCCCTCTCTAGATGCTTTTGAACTTACTTATTCTCAAAGATCCTTAAAGATGACAGCAAAGACTCTGGAGTTGAGCTTCTGTTTGTTTCTAACAGCTTAGAAACACCTGTTGATTGTTTACATTAAACGGCTGACAACACATGTGCCTCTATAAAAGAGCCAAGTTTTCAATGCCTGTGTTGTGAACTTTGAAAATGACATTCATACACAATGCTTCTAGATACAGAGATGAATAAGGGAAAATCACACTTCTTACCATTGAAACATTTCACAATTGTTCCCAATGAAAACATTCTTCCCAATTACTGTTCCTGTTCTGTGACAATGATCCTCAGGACAAATAGAGCGGATGAATCTCCCCAGCCAAGACACAAAAAAAGAATACAAACCTCCCCTTCCTATCAAAAAATAAATGCATACAAATGGCCGAAGTTCTATTTTGCATTCCATCAGGCTGGAGGGACAGGGTAGGGTCTCTTTGGTTGAGAACTAATATTATTATTGGAGGGCAGGTAAGACTAAACTTTCTATCACTTGATATTCAGTCACCATGCTCATATCAGCTATTGTCTTCATTGCACTCTTGCCCTACCGGCCCATTGGAGAGTAAGAAACATCCTCTAGATTCACAGCCTTTGTTTCTCTTTTCAGCTGCGGAACACACTGCGTTTCATGCTGGCTAACCTGTCTGGATTCAGCCCGGAAACAGACTCTGTTAATAGCAAAGCGATGTACATCATAGACCAGTACATGATGCATGTGCTCCAGGACTACACCAGTAAGGTAATGAGGGTGAACATCAGCCGTTGGCAAGGCATAATGGGTCTTGCAGATCTCATGGGCTGGGTGGCTGCACATTGCCTAATCTGTGCTAAAATGAGTGCACATGGTTGGTTCTAGTAATGTGGCCCTTTTAGGAGGTCAACAAAATAATAAAGGCACTAACCTGCGAAGACCGTGGTATTGTACATAATTCCCATCAGCCCATCTGCTGAAACGCCACTCTGTAGCAGAGCTCCCAGCAACCAATGGCCTCTGTGGTTCCTTCTGCTGACCTTTAGTCATTGCAGTACACAATAGGGACATAGAGCTCTTTTTTTCACAGGTTAGTGCCTTTTTTTTAGTTGAAAGGGTGGTTTTAAAGGAAACCTGTCATGAAAATGATAGGCTGGCATTGCTGACCTCCTACAAATACTAGTTGCCTTGGTGTCATCGATCTCCTCGAATCAGATCTGCTGATCGGCTTACTGCTTTCAGTCAGCAGATTAGAAAGCACAGAAGCCAGAGGATCAATATGACAACCAGGCTGCTGGCATTTATAGAAGTAGGTCAGCAGTGGCAGCCTGTGCATTTGTGTTATGACAAGTTTAATTTTTCTCTATCATCCATTGAGGGATACAGCTCTAAAGAATTCTAAGGCATAGGGGTCTGCCGAGAAATAAACATTAGGCAAAAAAAGTCAAAGCCTGCCACTTAAGGACATAACCCACCACCTCACACCTGACAGTTTCACGTAGTGTCCTCAGGACAATGGATGTCTCCTTCTCTTCTGCTTTATTTTAGTTTATTTTGTTTCTTCTTTAGGTACAAAAAGTTTTTTATTGTAAAAGTAACAATATAGGACATTACAACATATGTCACATAAACAAAAACAAGACAAAAAACTTTATACAACCATAATAAGAAGTTGCAGGGGTAACCAGCAGGGAATATGTACAGTAATAAAAGGATAAACGCAGAGGAAGAAAACCAAAAAACAGCAGATGGATATAAAAAAAAAACGAAAAACACGATAACATCAACCCCGCTGGAAGAGCCTCGCAACAGCTACTGTACTCGGGGAAGCACAGTGACCATCAGCTGCCACAATAGGTAATGTGAGTAGCTCCGGGTGCAGGCGATGCGAAAAAGACAACAACATGCAGAAAAAAGGAGAAAAGACAGAAGAAAGGGAGAGGACAAAGGGAAGGACTGTTGTTTCTTCTTTAAAGATTCCACTACCAGGGGCTGCTAGTAGATTCATCCGGATAAGTTAAATCCTGGAAGTCTCTCTAGTTGTCATGAAGCAGGTCTTCTCTGGTCTCACTACTTCTGCTTCGTCCTGCGTTGGTCCTGTGTTTCTGTTTTTCATCATTTACCGGTCTGACCAATATTATCTGGGGATTCCTGTTGTTGTGCCAAGTACCAGGCCGTGGGGTCGTGAGTATAAAAAAAATTTATTTACCTCATGTTTATAAGGTTGGGTGTTTTCCCTCCTTTTTATTTACTTGGGCCTTGTGCTCTCAGACTCCTATTTGGCTAAATGCCTTTTTATGTGGACGTTCCTTTTTATTTAAATTTCCCTCTGTCCCTTTTAAGAGGCCGGCACTTCAGTTTGATGACGCACTTGTTTTTGATGCGCAGTCCTTTTGTCCTGGTTTTTTGGTGTAGTGCGTTTCTATCAGCGGTGAAAGTGGACGGAGCAGTTTCAACTCCGCTTCCTTTGTTTTTTAGTTACCTCATACCGGCCCCGTCAGTATTATTGTGTTAACATGCCTTCTTGTAGCTGAGTCGCCAGAATCACTTCTATTGTAAAGCCGGCCGGCGGCTTTACAAATGTAAACAGGGGGAGTCTGTTTAAACTGTGCCCGGTGCCAGTAGCGTACGATGTATGTCACTGGTCGTGAAGGGGTTAATAGTTAAGGTGCTTGTCCATTACTTTGACTAGAAGGGTTTCTGCTTGGTCTTGCAGGGAACCCTGTTTGGTTCTTTATAAGGAGAAGGTTGTTTTTAATACCGCAGGCTTCCTTTATAAGCAAGGTGTTTTTGGCCTTTCATTTCAATCAAGACGTTGTTTTCCCTTCACTTTGTCCAGCTCCTGTTCATCCTGAGGACATTTCGCATCATTGTTTTGATGTTGGGCGGGCTGTTCGGGTTTATCTGTCAGACACACCTCCCTTTTAGATGTTCTGATTCTTTATTTGTTCTACCGGAAGGTCCTAGAAAAGATGGTGCAGCTTCTAGATCTGCTATTTGTAAGTGGATTCGTCAGGTTGTCATTCAGACTTCTGATTGGCGGGAGAAGGTTCCTCCTTTTCCTGTTTCTGCTCATTCTACTAGGACACTTTGTACTTCTTGGGCATGTCTGAATCGGCTTCTGTTTCTCACATTGCGAGGCTGCAACATGGTCTTCTGATCGCACTTTTGTTTTATGAAGTTGATGTTTTTGCCTCTTCTGCTGCTGTTTTTGCAGAGGAGTTCCTGTTTGAGTATTTGTGATGGTTCTTCTAGTTTTTATGGTGCCCGCCCCTCTGTTTTGGACTGCTTTCGAAGGTCTCTTCATCTCAGAATTCTTCAGAGCCGTGTCCCTCAATAGACCATAGAGAAAATAGGATTTTGTTCTTACCGTGAAATCCTTTTCTCAGAGTCCATCGAGGGACACGGCTCCCTCCACTCATTTCCATTCATCCTGCTACAACTGGCAGGTGTGAGGTGGCAGGGGTTATGTCCTGAAAGTGACAGGCTTTGAATTTATTTGCAGGGTGTCCATGTCTCCTGGAGGCAGAAGCATAACCCTACGTCTCAGAATTCTTCAGTGCTGTGTCCCTCAATGGACTTCGAGAAAAGAATTTGACAATAAGAACAAAATCCTATTATTGTGTTGATGTGTATTAATGTATGATTTGCAGTGTGCTTACTATTCTGTATATCTCTAGGTAACAGAGGCCTATAAGAACTATGAGTTTGGAAAGGTTATCCGTCTGCTGGAGGCCCTAATCACCAGAGACCTGTCAAGCTTCTACTTCAGTATAATAAAAGACAGGTAGATGTGTGTGCGCTGATCGGCTGTTTGTATGGTTTATGTTGTCAGTGTGTTAATAAGCCCCTACACTGTGTTCAGATCACCTTTATGGACAGGCATGACTAATACTTTTGTTTTTGGGGGATGTGGCAATACAATGCATTCAGCATAAGAGGACTCCACAATAACACAGGTTGTATTGTGAATTCTTGTGTAACCTAATAGAGTTGAGGTGCACAATAAATGGAAGTAGCAGTAGTGTGTAAATTTCTGTTCAAAGTAGAACTTCTACCAATCTGCACAATACATGGGTAGAAATACAGATGTGCAGATTTTTTTTACCTGCAAAATATAGAATGTTATTCATTAAGTCGTGTCATGCTCACACCCTCCACAGTGTATAGCCAGCAGGGTGACACCATTATTTCCAAGTTAAAGTTTTCAGCTTTTTGTGTCACCCGCCTGCTAAATGAACTGAAGCACTTCATGACACTGGTGACATCACTGTGTGCTCTGCCTGCTGTGATCTGCATGAACACCTCCCCAGTAAGCCCCTAGTGCCTGATAACATGTCACTATTGTACAATGAAATATGTTATGCTAACAGTATTTAAATGGTTCCTAATCAACAGGCAACTGAATAATGGTTGTTAAATATACAGTATGGCCAAAATTGTATGAACATGGGATCATCACACCACTATATGAACAAAGGTTTGTGGACATCTAATCTTCACGCCTACACCTATAAGGCCAAATGTATGTGGACAGACCTCCAAATGATTAAAAGAGGACTATGGGCCAACCTCTTCTGCCCATAGTTCTCTTCAGGGTCACAGGAGGATATATATCAATGTTCTCCAATGACCCAAAACTCAGTGTATAGCGGGCTATTGCCTGCTATATACTGAGAGCACAGAGCCGCTCCGCAGCTGGGACAGACCCCAACAATACTGTCGAGATCCACTCAGCTGGCTGATTGACAGCTGGCTCTGCCTATTGAGAGTCAAAGCCAGCTGTGCCCGCCCCCTCCTCCATCTGTTCCTCCAGTCAGCACTGAAGGATCGGAGAGGGGAGGAGGGAATCCCTGCGGGAAGCGGTGACTGACTGTAGGGAGAGGATTGGGAAGTCAGGGACCGGCGGTATGTGTTTGCTCACTTCCCGACCTGTGACAGCTTCAGTATCACAGGCCGACTTGAATTATGGGGATGAGTGTTTTTAACTCGCCCCATAATTCTCCTTTTACGTTCAGGTGTTTCCAGTTAAGGGTGCTGTAAATTCTACAGCATACAAAGTCATTTTAGACAATTGTGCGCTTCCAGCCTTGTGGCAACACTCGGGGGGGGAAAGCCCTTTTCTGTTTCACAATGACTGTGCCCCTGTCCACAAAGGCAGCACCATAAAGACCGAACACCTTTGGTATGAACTGTAATTCCGATTGTGAGACTGGTTTTCTAATCTCGCATCAGTACCTGACCTGACCCGTTCTTTTGGCTGAATGGACAGACACCGTCCACAAACTTGTAAAAAGCTTTTCCAGATGAGTTGAGGTTTTTATAGCTGCAAAGGTACGGCGACTCTATATTAATCCCCATGGTTCTGGAATGAGATGTCAATCAAGATCCAACAAGTGATTGGTCAGTGTTTTTTGTGTCCACAAACATTTGCTCATATAGTGCACACTGACTGAATTTATACAGGAACATCAGTCACTGCCATAGTCTGTGTTTCTGTGGGTTCTCCCATGTTTACTTCACTTTTCTCCTTGTGGCCCATTTAGTGCCACCCTTAATGGGTTTCCCCTATGTATGTACATATGTGTGTGTGTGTGTGTGTTTTGTGAGAGAGTTTGTGTATCTATATGTTTATTTATTGCTTTCAGGCTTTACTGCGAGGAGGAGAGAGATCCCAAGCGCCGATCCTGTCAGACCGTCTTGTCACAGGCTCTGGATATAGTGGTGCGCTCATTTGCGCCAATCCTTCCACATCTGGCAGAAGAAGTTTTCCAATATCTGCCCTATAAAAAAGGTATGAGATGCACTTTGTAACCCAGGGATCCTATTGGCTTCCTGTAACTGCTTTATAAGATGGCTGACTATACAGATGACAGGTACACTTCAGTAATGGAATATTTTGTTCTGTTGCAGGTGAAAACCCGAGTGTTTTCCATGGAGGCTGGATAGTGTCCAATCCTGTGTGGAAAAAACCCGGCCTTGTAGAAGCTGTGGAGGCCGCGTGTTCCGTTAGAGACATCTTTCTGGGTGCCATTCCTGGAAAGAATACCGCAGAGTATGAACTTACAGTTGTCATTGAGCCTGGACTGTTGTTTGAGTTGATGGAGGTAAGCATGGCCAAGGTTTAGCTTATGTATTGGCTTTGTAAAGTACCAATATTCCCATTCATAGTGGGGGTCAGCCATTGTATGTAGCGCCAGACTAGCCGGACCTGGACTTTGGGGTGGGGCACAACACTATGGGACGTATTCCTGGTTGTAGGACTAATGGAAAGAGAGGTGACCCTCCTTTTCTTGGCTGTCCCTCTCCCACAAGGGACGTATAGTGTATTTTCACCAAGCACATACTTTGAGGCATATTATAGCACTTCCTGTTGTGTCTCTCGTACAGGAAGTGAAGGGAAATTTCTGGTCTGCTACACAGACCGCAAAACGAAAAGAAACCTGACCAGAGTTTTACACCTTCCAAAACTCTAACTTTTTAAGAATATTTTGTTTCGTTTTTCGATAAAGTTGTTACATTTTAAGTACAGAGTATTACAGATAGGCCATTTAAAGGGTTCCTAATGGCTCAAAACAATGACTCTGACCCTCCTTAACCATTTAGACCCCAGTGGTCATTGAAGCATAAATGCCCAGTCCAAACTCTAATTTGCATAAGTTGTTTGATTGTAAGCATTTCATTTGGTACATTGTTTTAATAAAAAAAATCTCTCTGTGCGTGCATTTAAAAATATATATTGTTGTGTATTTTCATATTTGCAAATTCATTTTTAATGATATAATTGTATTAGTCAATTACAGTATTAAATAAGGGCATGTTGCCTCTGCAGGGTAAAACTATTTATTTTTTTTCTTCAAATGAAGCCATTCGCTTCCATGTGATCACTACATCATAGCTGACATAGTAGTCGCATTATAGGGAACCACTCTGATTGATTGGTTTCCAGTTGTTGGTGGAGATCGAAGTTGGTTATCACTGCCACAGCCCTGCAATGTGTTGGTAGCTGTCACAGAGGTGCTGTTTATGAACATGTGTTCAGCACAGGTCATTGTGCTGAGAAGTGTTTCTATACAAATTTCAGGAAGGAAGGGGTTAAACAGAGATGAATCTTATGTGCTGATATAGCTTATGTGCTGAATAAATGTTGCGTCCTCGGTGTGGTGACCGGTGTAGCTACGGGCAGAGTAATAATGTTCCTGTATACTGCAGTCTGTCAGCAGCATAATCACAGCGCCTTTTCTCTCACTAACATTATGTATGACCCGTTTATCCTGCCAGTAGATCCATTATACTTCCATTAACAGGCTGACAACTCTGTTCTTTCTGCAGGTAAATATCACAGCACAGTTGCCACCTTGTGCACAGGGTAGTCTTAGCCGGACATGTATTTTAAATGGACTTAAGAGAACTATGGGGTCAGTGTTTTTTCCCCATAGTTCTCTTAAGGGTCATGAGAGGACATATTCTAACCTCCTCCCGTGACCCAAAGGTCAGTATATCGCGAGCTACAGCTTGTAGTATACTGAGACCGACACAGCCTGGACAGATCCCGTCAATTATGTTGAGATCCACCCATCGGCGTGAGTGACAGCTGGCTCTGCCTATCTAGAGGCAGAGCCAGCTGTACCCGCCCCATCCGTTCCTCCGGTCAGCGCTGGAGGATCGGACAGGGAAGGGGGGGAATCCCTGCGGGGAGCCATGAGTGACAGTCACCGCTCTCTGCAGGGAGATGATCGAGAAGTGAGCGAGCGACGGTATGTGTTCGCTCACTTCCCGACTCCTTTAAAGTAAGAGACAAATAAATAAAATCTCAGCTCCAGCAACAGGTTCATTTTTTCTTTTGGAAACAAGTTTAGAGCACATGAATAAAAGTTGGCAGTTGTAAGCACCCCCGTCACTATCCTATGGTTTGTCCCAACTGTCACTTTTACTTGTTCTGTATGTGAAGAGCCAATCATATCCATAATACAATCATTACAATTACCAAATCAATATATTTTCCTCTACAGATGTCCTTCAATGTCTCACATTCTGCGTCATTTTATGACTGTATGTAAATATCTGGCACAGGAGTTCTGGTCCATTTGTCACCCATCTTCATACACTGATGGCTAAAATGTTTTGGGTCTGATAGATGTGTCCTGACGGATTGCTCTGTACTGTTTTGTCTCACAGACGCTGCAGGCAGAGGAGACATCCAGCACGTCACAGCTCAATGAACTATTAATGGTGTCCCAGACCAGCCTGGTGACGGACTTACCGCTAGATCTAGAAGCAGGGGCCATTGTGCTCAATGGATCTTTCCTCATCAACCTGGAAGGTAGGAAAACCCGGATTACTCCTTTTACTAGAAGCACTTGCAAAGCATTAACAGCGTGTTAACTGAATCGGCGTATATATATATATATGTAGCTGATGACACGGGTCATTCCTTTTTCCAGGTGGGGACATCTGCGAAGAAGAGGCATATAAAGTTGTGATTCAGCCAAGTACCAACGAGCGCTGCCCCCGGTGCAGGAAATACACCACCGCCTCTGCACTGACACCTTGTCCACGGTGCCTGGAAGCCATCGCTGGGAAATGGAGCCAGTGAAATAAGAGGACTCGGAGTAAAATGCATATGTCTGCAGACTAGGAAACAGCTGGACAGCACCTGAGCACTGCAATAGCTGCAAAGGAAACAGATGCAGAAGCGCTAATGGCCTCTAGGGGGCAGAAAGAACACTGGACGGCATCACATGGTCACTATGGCACTGAGCACCTTCAGCCTGGCAGTGCATGATGGGATATGAAACCCCACAAGAAGCCATTATATAACCAAGCCTGGTATACACATGGCAAGCAGCTCTGTAGGTACTGAAATGGAAATTCACTACCTGAAGAGTACTTGTCACAGGAAGTGGAAGCAGCTGTTTTGTAGGCCGAACAAATATTTAATCATTTGGCTAAATCCTAAATAAATGCTGCCTGTAAAACGTCTGCTTGCACCTCTGCTGGTTGTCAGGGTTCCCTAAGCAATGTTTTGAGGCCTATAGATTGAACAAGATCGAACTGACAACCAGGGAACCGAAACCAAGGCACTGCAGCACCTGCCACACTTTGGGGTTGGGAGGTGAACATTTTGTTTTTATGCTTTATGAGTTTCTCATCAGGACTTTGTGATCAGGTATTGACGGGTGACCGTGGGTGACCAGACCCCGGGGCGTGCAGTGTAAACTTTCCTCAGAAAAACTTCCAATGTATATTTTATATACAGCCAATAGAATCTGCAGATCTATGTTTTGTTCATTAATCAGATCTGATTATCAGGCCTTATTTTTTTTATTAAATTAATAAATAAATATGTTCCTATCATCTTCTGACAGTCTGTCCTCCTGGTTTACAGCCGGATGCTCATTGGACCACATACTGGCTACAAGAAACCCGTTACAGAAAGACGCACCTGACACAAAGTAGACATCGGGCTCATTTACTAAGATGGCGGTGTTTATTTTAACGTAACTCCGTTTATCTTATGATAGTTCTTTTTACAGTATATACGTAACATGGAAATTGTCTTTTATTTTCGAGATGTCTTTCTTATTCTCCAGATGTATTTTCTTTTTTTTTTAAACATTGTAGGGTGATGGCTATAAAAAAAAGTAGACGCCTTAAAACTTGCCAAATGTGCCTGCTATGAAATGTATAAACCATCTGAACAGATCATTATATAAAGTGACACTAAACTCAGGAGATAAATCTTCAAATGCATTCAAGTACCTTAACTATTAACAGAAATGTATTTTATTTGTGTATCACTCGGCTGTAGATCCTCCGATCATCTCTGAATTGGTGCTGACACTGTCCTTCCTTCTGGAGGGGGGCTACTCTTCTTCCCCATGGTCCCTGTGTGTGTTGTAAAGTAGTCACTGCTCCAAGCTCACTCCTGCGAAGGACTACAATCTCCGTATAAATGAGTAAACTAGACATGAGATTGTAGTCCATCACAGGAGTGAGCTTGGAGCGGTGACTACTTTACAACACACACAGGGACCATGGGGAACACAAGTAGCCACCCTCCAGAAGCAAGGTGACGGATTGATGAGTGCATTTGCCATTTGTTTTGCTTGACTGATACACAAATAAGATTGTTGGTAATAGTTGGGTTACTTGAATGTATTTTTAAGGTTTAACGTGAAGGAACCAGTCGGTGACTCACTACGTGGTGAACAAACATTACAATCGTGAAGTCTGTCTGTGCTTTTATAGTACATCTGAACAGTTTATATCTGCTAAATGCATTTCAGGTGCATGAAACAAAATGGAGGACATTTCTGAATGAAGTTGAATGTTTTTGCGGTAAGTGAATGTATGGAAACATTCCCAGTACATATTCCCCCTGCTGCGAATGGCGTGCCACTTCTAATTCTAGGAATCTATGTGGCGACATGGCAACAAATTTGCAAATGTCGGCCGCCTGCTTTCCCCAATTCGATGAAGTACTCTAAACTAGATTGCTGTAGAATTAGGAGGCTGATCTGTCTCTGTGATGTGACAACAGGCTCGCAGGACTGATTTTAGTGACAAGTAGTGACATCCGAGGCAAATGTCTGGCAACTCAGCAAAACGTTGACATAATGTGAAAGTGTAACAAATCTGCCGCACTTTTTACAGTCTTCTCAGAGCGGGAGGAGTAAATGTATGGAGCCTTATGCTTCAGTTGTGTTGGTTTGTTACAAGTGTCTAAACATATCCTGCATGGGTATGATGTTCAGATAGATGGGTAGGACACTATGTTTGCATTGCTGGGTCTCTAATTACAAAGAGCATCTGACTCACTTGGCCTCCAAGGGACAATTTCCGTTCGGCCCTGCGCTGTACACCGCAATCACTAAAGTCTCAGGAGGCCACAGCATGCTCCTGCTCCAACATAGGTCTAAGGAGAGGTTAGCTGGATCCCTCAATTCTCATTCATCTACTGCTGCAGTAGGTGCCCCCAGGCCCTCTAAACCTGACTCCAACTTAAAGGTCAGCTAACCCCTTTGCATGAGGGGGTACCCCCACTTCTATAAGTGTGGGGCTGATTGTGCATCCCAGTGGGTCTTAGGTCATTTTGCATCTCCAGCATTCCCATTTTAGCCATTTCTTCCCTCTGGGGAACCCTTCAGTTGCTCTTTATCTACCCTGTGCTGTTGCATGGGGTACTGTACCTTTCCCAGTCTGTATAGGTTTTCTCCATCCCAAGACCCCTTGCTCCAGTCCTTATATTATTTTGGGTTCTGGAGCTGCGATTCCCTTCGGCCTTGATTCCCTTCCTTAGGAAGGCCACTTATTGTCTGGTTCCCCTGACCAAATAGTTCCCTCCATTTTGGGGAAGCCATACTCTGGACGATGCTGAGACTGTTAGCCTGACTCAAACTGTCCTCCTGAAGGGCATTGCTTTGGAAACCTGGCTCTCCTCAACCAGTGGATTCTGAACCAACAGGAGAAGTTAGCCCACCTGGATGCACCACAGATCCTATGCACTGGGCAGACATCATCGCTGGAGGGCCTTAGGCCTTCCTGGATTGTCAGCAAGTGGACCGCCCTAGCTTCTTGCTTGAGGTACTCCCAGCAAGGGACAAAGTATGTACAGAGGACTTTATGGGGCCTCTCCACCTGGCGATCAATCATCCTTTGGCTGATCAGCACTCTGCTGAGGAAGGTCCTCCGCATACCTTGCTCCGTCCCTTAATAGGGTAAATGCTCTTAGCGTTTCAGCTAAGATTCCTGTTCCTCCCTCCATAGCTGGTGATACTTTGCTCTGGATGTGGGGGTATTAAGAAGTTTCCTAGGTTCATGGCTGTGCTAGGAGTTAGGCCCCAGTTTCACCTAGGGATGTCAGAGAGGATGTCTTGGCTTTCTTCCTCAGTTTATATTGATGGTCCCAACCCCGCCAAGCTGGTGCTGGGGTCTACCTTTCATCTTGCCTTCTCTTGTGGCAGTGCCTTCTTTGTAATCTCTACCTCCTGTCACACTTTGTGGGATTGAATCCTTGAGTTCTCTAGCGGTTTTAGAGTTCTCCTCATGTCCTTGTGAGCTTTTGGGTTGTACTAATACCAAACATTCTCTGGTGTACCTCGCTTATTGAGGTTGGTTGTCAGGCTCGACAACCTCCTTTTACTCTTTCTAGCCTTTCCACTTAGACCAGCTGACTTTCTTGCCTGAACCTATTTTGTTTGTATTCAGTTCCCTTTGGGACCTCCTCTGGGTTGTCCCCAAGTTTTTAGTTTTCTGTTGCCCATATCAGGTTGCGGGTCCTTTTTTTCTCCCTGTTCAGGAACGAGTACTACCTGTTTTTGGTGGATTTGGGTTGATCAGCTTTTTCGCTGGGCCAGGTTTGGTATTACCTTCTGGCTGGAGTCATTCCCCTCTGGCAGTGCCCCTGGTTCATCTGGGTCTGGAGTATAGAGTATCTTGGTCATGTTTGCAGGTTCTCCTACCTGGCCCCAACAACATCCATTCAGATTTGGGCATTGATTCTTTAGGCGGCTTGTGGAATGCAAGTGGCCTGTTAGTGGGTTTTGTATTCGTCATACCCCCACCACCACCCCGGACTGCTTTTGAACATCCTGACTGTCTCTCAATTAGTGTGTCTCTCAATGGAAAAGTAAGAAAATAGGATTGTTTTTACTTACCATAACATCCACTTCTTCAGAGACACAGGCCCCGCCCCCCCCGTGTGTTTTTGTTCATGTCCTTATTACTGCTTTACCAAAAAACGCTGCGTAGAGTAGAGGTTACATTGGGGGCTGGCTTGCGCTCTTTTGTTTTCCAGTATCCCATTCTTCTGTAGGTGGCAATATAATTAGGGCTGGTAATGATTAAAATTTTCCTGTTCGATTAATCGAAAAAAAATTTAAATCAATTAATCGACTAATTTCAATTAATTATATCGCACATACAGATCTCGCAAACTCTAGAGCCATCTCTGCCCACCGGTGACCCTTAGCGCTGCACATTCACTCACCAGTCTGGTGAGACCCCTCAGAGCTCTGGTGAGACCCCACAGAGCCCTGGTTAAAGTAGGGTTCAGTGGGGTCTCACTAGTCCTGGTTAAACCCAGGCCACACATGAACATGTGTACATATTGTGCACTAATGAAGCAGGAGACTCACCGGCCCAAGGGTTCCTGTCAGGTAACGAAGGGAAGGGGGAGGAGTCCGGTGATGTCACGGACATCGATGTCACCGGACTCCTACCTCCTTCCCTTCGTTACCCATCACGGACAACTACATCACCTGACTCCTCCCCCTTCCCTTCGTTAGCCGACAGAGCCACTTGGGGGGGGGGAGGAGGAGGAGTCCGGTGACGTCGATGTCCGTGACGTCACCGGATCTCCGGCAGAGAGGTGAGTATGGATCAAAAGAACTTTGATCGATCAAAGAAATGATTGATTAATCGACGGATTAATTGTTAATTTCCGCACCCCTAAATATAATCTGAATTCCTGTGTCCCTCCATATTTTTCTGGTAGGTACAATAATCCCATTTTATCTCGGTTTGGCTAAAGGAGCATGGAGCAGTACTCATTGGTGGCGATTGGTCTGCAGACACACAGAAGTAGGCCGAGCTCA